TTCTCTGCTGCGGCAGTGCTGCATACGACGAACCGTGCATCCACCGTGTATCGTCGTCGCGTTAAGCTCTCAGAAGCGGTTTCGAAGACTCTCGTCGGCACAACACGTCGCGCGGAAGTTTTGCGAACGTGGTGACAGTCGGTTGTTCCACATCCAACTTTATTACCAGTTGCTCGCGACGTGACAGATCGATCGTAAACCCGGCGTCGCGCGAGTGTGCACACGCACACGTGTGAACGTGTGCCGAGAGAGAGAGAGAGAGAGACCTGGCAGAGAAGAGGCGGCAAGTGCACCCACACGCGCACGCGATTTAACTCTCTCACGACGAAGATTATACAATCTCCACTTTCTCTCTCTCTCTTCCTCTCTGCGATTCTCCGTCACCATTGTACGAGCAACCGAGTTTATATAAAATGATACACGGTTCGCTACTTTGTCATACGATCGTTTAAATCCATCACGAGGCGCACAGCGGCTCGTAGGGGCCGCGATTAAAGTCACTCGCCCGTTGAATTATCGCCGACCGAGATTACTCGCCGGCGCGCTGTTATGGCTAACTTGCGAAAATTTACAAAAGCGAGACTCGGGCTCGGAGCACCGCGACTAGCAGACACACACACACACACACACACATATATGGCTCGTGTCTCTCACACATCGCTTCTTTAACGCTCGATAAAGAACACGCTGAGTCGAGCGTGTAATTTGTGTCTGAAATGTAACCGGCTACCCTTTGGGTAAAAGGACACGCTCTTCTGTAAAACATTCGTTTGTCCCGCGCGTCCGCGTACCTCGAGGAAAAATCCACGCTCAACGTTTTACAACTCACTCGACGCTCCGCCGTTTCCTAGCGAAACTACGCGCGTACACCTTTCATTCTCTAGCTCATGTGTGCTCAGCCCTCAGACCCTATTCACGCGGTCCGCGCTGCATAACCGAAATTGCAATAATCGAATGAGAATTTTATTGTCTGAATAATTTTAACCATAAATGTTCATGATGTCTCTTTTGGGAGAGAGTGTTTGTATTTTTTTCCCATACGGAGCACAGAAAAAATAAAACCTTATCTGTAAAGATAATTAAATGGCATTAAATATAAATATAAATTTATTATTTTCATAACATAGTCTTAGAATCAGACATTGATGAACTGGTATCTAAAAAAACAAGTATTCCAAGTGTTCTCGTTTTCAAATTTTCATCGATATAAGTATATTTTTTTCTAATCAATCGTTTCACTATAAACGTTGTTCTAATAAAATAAGTCGCATTGAACTGATGAGAAAAATATGCAAATTATGTGTCTACCTTCAACAGAGATTTTTATTGACCAATAAGGATTTAATTGCCCAGAAGATTAGGCTGAACGCTCCACCGTGTCCGCATAATTCGCAGGAGTTTCAGAATCGTACGTATAAGAATCGATCGCTCGATCCGTCTGAAACGACTCGTACCTCCGCTCGCGTCGCGAGGCAATGCTTGCGGATGACCTTTCGACACGCGTTATCCGCGAGGCAACGTTCACCTGGATTCACTGGATCCTCGGGCTCGAGGATGGAGAGGTATCGAGACAGAGGGGGTGCGGCCCGGTCGTTAAATCGGAGTCAACCGCTCCGACAGGCCTAATCTCCGTCCATTAAGGCTAATGGGGAAAGCGCGAGGAGGCGCGGCTGGCTGCCAGACGACGAAACCCTGTCATCTGCACAGGCTTTAACCGAGCTTTAAGAAGAGAGGAAGGGACCAGGCGGCGGCGGCGGCGTGTTCCCGCTAACGAAAAACGCGTGTCGGTGACTTTTCACCGGCGCAACCCTTGCGCGGCAAAAACCACCCCTAGGACTAAAACCGGGTCATTAAACGGCCGTACATCATCGCGGGACGTGACACGTCCTGAAACGCCGCGCGCCCTGGGCCCGCAACTCATTAACCTCGGGGATATATTCCCGGTTCCTGCCGGGTCCGAGTTCCGCTCGACGAGCCAACGAGTCCCACGGGAACGCCTTTTGTACGGTTAAACAGGTCGAGATCTATCGAGAAGGCCTCGGACATCAATCTCGGATTGATACGACGCTGACGAAAATTCTATAATTGTATTGTATTGTTGAATGAATTACGTTACATTGGTAGACGTATTTGCCAAACTATTGAAATATTCTATTCTAATAAAGATGTTAGGTTGGTCGGGAAATAATTCTGCTTCTTCTTATCCCTCAATTTCCAGTTTTATTAATCAAAGTACGAGTTACAAGCTTGTTTATCCCAATAGCATAGAATTCCAGGTCGCTGGAGTCGATGAAACGCTTCGCAAAGCAGCTTTTGCATCAGCTTCGTTTAAAGAGTTTAAAGAAATTATCTAAATGAAATTGAAAAAGTG